CTTAAAAGTGCCCGAGCTAAGGCCTTCTGAGCTTCGGCCATTAGCTCAGGTTGTAAATCGAGCACTGCCGCTGTCAGTAGATCCCGGAAAGCTGTTGTGCGTTCCCGAGTCTGTAAGGGCCCAGGTGATCAGGCGGAAGTTATTGCCGCCATGAGCAGATGGGGTGGTATTTCCGCTGCTGCATACGAGGCCTTCACCGCACCGAAACGCTTGCACCTATCCCAATTTAGGGAATGGTGTACAGACATGGCGGTAGCACTGGCGGAGTCGGACTTGGTGTCTGTCTTCGTCCAGTATATACGGACGATTCAGGATCCGGGCTCTGGGCTATGGACCTTCTTTGTAGATACAGTCGTTAGCAAGCTGAAACCGGTACCGCTTGAGGAGGAGTGGGCAGCCAGTGCCTTTCCTCCAGTGGTTATGCTCCACCGTTTGCGCCGGGTTCTCCGAGAATGCGCCAAAGAGCACCGCCGCCTCCACCGTGTGTGGTTCGTCTTTCCCCCTTTCCCCCCCTTCCCCCCCTCTCCCCCCCTTCCCCCCCTCTCCCCCTCTTTCCCGGCCTTCGGTTGCCTTCAACTGCCTCTCTGTCCCCCCCCTCTTCCCTTCGCATTCCTCATCCTCATCCTGATCCTCATCATGCAAATCCAAGCCGGCGAGGTCGACATCACCGCCACCACTGCAACTGGCAATGGTGCTGGTGTCAACCTCGAGCTGGCGGCCAAGGTGGTTGGAAGCAACGGTAACGGCAACAGCAAAGTTGGTGATACGGTTGTGGTTGTTGTTCAGGAGGTATGGCTGGTAGGTACGGAGCACCGGGCCTACTACTCCCCCCCGGATATGAGCCAGGTGCCGGCCGGGTCGGTCAACAAGCAGGCGGCGCATTGGTGCGTGGCGGATGGCTGGGTGCCTGGGCGAGGGTGTGCGGGTCGAGGCAGGGGAGGGAGGATTCGAGGTCGGGGGGGTAATTGGAAGATGTTGGGAGCCGTGTCCCCCTCCTAAGGTGTGTGTTTGCGCGAGGCGGGAGAGTGTGGTGTGGTACAGTACTTTCAATCCACCCTACACCCCACACACCCAGTGGTTCGTCTTACCTCCCCTCCGGATTCATCATCATCACCATCATATCACCGTCATCACCATCAGCATCACCAGCATCACCACCGCCCCTCTTGTTCATCTCTTCATCTTTTTTCTGTTGTGCGCTACGATGTCGTGTTGCCCCAGGGTATCTCCCGGCTTGCTGCTGTGGCGCCAGGCAGCCCAGGACGCCGGGGGGCCCCGGGCCTTCCGACTGCACTTCCACAGCCGGGGGTACGGCTGGATCAACGGTACGTGCGCCACCCCGCGTGCGGAATCGGGGTTGGTTGTCGACCCTTTTCCCCCTCCTTTGGCCTGTCCTACTTCTGGTACACTCTTGCCCTGGCAGCAGCTTCACTCGTTCGTGGTTCGCCTTTCCCCCCCGGGTTCGCTGTCGACCCTTCCCCCCCCCCGTCTGGGCCTCCGAGATGTCGTCGCCAGGCGCCATCCGTTGACCCGTCCACCGCCACATTTGGAAATCGTACAAATGCCGGGTTTGGAAGCAATCGTGATTATGCGCGTGTGTGGACAAAAACATACATACATACATACATGCATACGTATACATACACACACGTACATACATACAAACACGCAGGCGTGGGGGTCCAGGGTACCGAGGCGAGCTGGGAGCTCACCGCAGCGCCGCCGCAGGCCGCCAACGATGCCATCAAGCGCTTCCCGCACCTGTACGGCACCACACCGCTAGTCGTACCGCCGGAGGCGGCAGCACGAGTTTCGGAGCTGGTGACAGGGCAGCTCCTGGTTTCCGTACATGATGCGATGGGGGGTGCCCTGGATGCGACCGGCGTACAGGTAGATGATGTGGTGGGGGTGGGTGGGGAGGAGAAACTGCGAAGGATCAGAGGGTGCCGTACAGGGGGTCGTACAGTACAGGAAACGGCCGAGGGTCAGCAACTCCTTTTTGGGCGAGGCCCCGGTCGCGAAGCGCCTTTCGGGGTTCACTGCTGTCCGTCCGTCAGTCCGTCTGTCTGTCAGTCAGCCAGCGTCGTGTCTCATGATGAACTCGCCATGGCCACGATGAACTAAAAATTGCATTACAAGCTAATACTACAATTCTCCATCGATTTACCGAAGGAATTAATTCGCATGCAAATGTGCGCGAAGCCAGCTGCCCGACGATAGCTTCCCGCGGGCCATGGTTTTGACTTCCCTGTCGGCGCCCCCGGCCTTAAAACGCATCATCCTCAACTCACCCCATCGCGACTCCCATACCAGCCACAACCACAACCAGTATCATCACCAGGAAGAATGAAACACATACCAACCGCTCAGCCCCGCCACACTCCGCAACTCCAGCCACTATCCATGACAACCGCTCCAGCAAGACTACTGCCCAACTCCGAACCAGACTGTGCCCATGTGTACATCTTCGGCACATGAAGACAACGTCCCAACACGGCCAATTGCGAACCAAGGAATCCAACCAAGGGGGAAAAGCCGCCGGGAATAAAACCATTCCTTTTTCCAGGCAGAGCCCAACCAAACCCCAACAACAACAACAGCTCGATTTATTTCCCCCATGTACTCCTAATTCCTAATCTATATTCCTTAAGAGAGAAAACTTCTGCTGCGGCTGCCGTTGTCGTACGCACAGGTCCAGGGTGTGCTTGACGAGACGTTGACGTACGACGGTCCGCTGGGTGACCACCCCAACCCCGCGACGGGGGGGCATGCGATCACAGGTGGGGGGGGAGGGGGAGGGGTGTGGGGAGAGGGGGGGAGGGACTACAACAGAGGAGGAGCCGTACTGGTAAGGGGGTGTTCGGTCATACAAGGTACAAGCTCAGTACGAATGCGGGGTGTGTGTATGTGGGGGGGGAGAGGGGAGAGGGGGGAGGTCCGTAGAAGCCTGAGGGGACCGGGCCCTTGACAGCCGTGCGGGGGGGCCGTGTTTGGCGCAGTGGCGTCCGGACCTGGCCAGCTGTGTGTGAGAGTGTGTGTGTGTGTATGGCACCACACGACGTCATCACCACCTTTACTCAGTCAAGTGGTAAGTGAGGGCACTGACATACAATACACAGACACACACACACACACCACCACAACCCCCCACAACCCCCCCCACACCACACATACACACACCACCCCTCTCCACGGTTTGCAGTATGGGCCCCCACCGCCACGGACGTCAAGCTGCTGCACTACCGGGCAGCTCGAGGAGGGACCGCCGAGGTGGGGGGGGGCAGGGCGGGGCGGGGCGGGGTGGTGTGTCTGTGTGTGTTTGTGTGTGTATGTGTGTTTGTATAAGGTGGGGGTAGAGGTGGCCAGTGATGGTGGTGATGGCCAGCGGGGCTCGCGGTGGGGGATGGGTGGACGTGTTTTCCATTTCTCATATTTCTCCCTTCACTTCCTCCAACGAATGGGCACTCTGGACAGGCGTCCTCGGATGCCTCTGTCTTTATTTTTGCATAACCTGTCTCCGGTCGCCTCTTCCCCCCCACCGCCATCGCCACCGCCACCCGCACATCAGGTGTTTCAGATGTCCCGTGGGTCGGGCGGCACCTGGAGCATGCCACGTCCTGCCGACTGGCTCTGGTCGTACTACACCTACCGAGTCACCAACTACTGCCCCTGGACGGCGCGATTTGAGGTGAGGAAGGGGGGAGGGAGGAGGGGGAAAGAGGGGGGGGGGGCGGGGGTGTATCTTCAGCTACATAGGGGATGAGTTGGTGGTGAGGGTCGCTGTCTGGTGGTGTCTGGTGCGGTGTTGAATCACCGCTGATGATGACGGTCTCGGGTGGTCGTGGGGTTTTGTGGGAGAGTGGGTAGTAGGTACCGAGGCCTGGTGCGCGTGTATGTTTGTTTGCTTGTATGTATGTTTGTTTGTGTCTGTGAAACCGGGCGGCTACGCAATCCATTTGCATGAGTGCGAAAGTGAGCGAGGGACGTTTTATGAAGTACGACCCCCTCTCCTGCAACATCGTTATCGTTACCGTTATCATTATCATCGTTTCATTTCGCCCTCTCCCCATTTCACCTTTTGCTGACGCGTCGTCAGACCGTTGAGGTAACGGATCCGTACAGTCGGGGCCTGGCGGCGGACGGTGCTCGTACACAGATGGTGGATCTGTCGGATCCCGCCACCATGCCGGGGGGGTGGCTGGAGCACCTGGCCCCCTCCCTGGAGCAGTGGACTGACGTATCCGTGTACGAACTGCACGTCCGGGACTTCAGGTGGGCTGCCGTACAACCGCAGTGCAGGCATTACTGCTGCTACTGCTGCTGTTCCTGCTACTGCTATTGCGGCGCCGCCCAACGTCTACATTGCATTTGCCGTACATTACACACACCAGACTGCATGGGAGGGCAATTGTGATTGTGAAGGCAATGATTTTGTGTTTGCATCACTGACACTGAGAGTTTTCCCCTCCTAATCTAAATTTAAAATTGTTGTTGTTTGTATAATCTCCACACAATACTCTGTTAATGTGCATGGTACGTTTTCCGTTATGTCGGTTGTTGTCGTACACAGCATTACGGACGAATCTGTCCCGGAACATCTTCGTGGTAAGTACCTGGCCTTCTGCCCCAAGCGGGTGGTTGCAGCCGCGGCTGTAGCAAGGGGGGGCTTGAAGGCGGCGGCAGCAGCAGGGGGGCTAAGTGCGGGTTTGGCGCATTTAGCTGCATTGCGTGCCGCTGGCCTCAACCACCTGCACCTCCTGCCAACGTACGACTTCGCTACGGTTCCGGAGCGGCCTGAGGAGCAGCTGACGGTCAAGGTGGGGGAGCCGGGGGGGGGGCGGGGGGGGCCCTCAGGCGGGGGAGGGGGGGGCCGGGGGGGTATCGGGGGGGGGGAGTGGGGGCCGGGAATCGCGGCAACATGAGCTGCAGGATACGGAGTGTGCGTGTGTATGGGTGTGTATCTCTCGGGTGTGTATCTCCAGGGTTGTATCTCTATCTTCGGTGTCTCTTCCTCTTTTTTCGACGACATCTCCTAAGGGCTTCCCTTCCTTCTTCCCTCCCTCTTCCCCCCGCCTCCACAACATACACATACACACACACTCCCCCGTACACTCACTCACTCTCCCCGGTCTGTTTCCCTTTCAACCCCTTTTTTATTTCCGTACAGGAGGACTTGTCTGTGTACCCGCCGGACTCGCCCGCCCAGCAGGCTGCCGTACTTGCGGTCGCAGATTCCGACGGATTTAACTGGGGGTACGATCCCGTACATTACGGCGTACCGGAAGGGTCGTACGCCACGGATCCAGACGGAATCGCCAGGTGGGTTTGTAGAGCTTTGTGGGGGGAATATGGGTGCGTGTGTATGTATGCGTGTCACAGTGCCAACGCAGATGCATTACATTCCCCGTCCGTACATTTCCTAATCGCTCGCTCGTTCCATTCCTGAGGTGGAAGGTTCCAAATCAGATCTGTAGGTCAAACTGGTTCCGCAATTGACGATTTGAATTTGATGGACAGACCTTTTTGGATCTCTCATGTGGTGGATCTACTTATTAATTAATTTATCTCAAAAATGTTTTTGGTTCCAGGATACGGGAGTTTCGGGAGATGGTGCAGGCTCTTCACTCCCAGGGCTGGCGAGTGGTCCAGGACGTTGTGTACAACCACACCTTCGCCTCCGGACCATCTAGTCGGTACGACAGGTTTTTTGTGGAAGGGGGGAAGGGCCGGGTTGGGATTTGTCACACTAAAAGCCGGAGCGAGGCGGGAGCGTGTCAACCACGTTGTAGTGCGGTACTGCTGGGCTGGTACGGCATTGGGTCATGTGTGCCTCTAGATGTGCTTGTGCGTATGTCTGTATGTCTGTCGGAGCTCTCAATGCACGACATGGGGATCTTTCCTGCGCCCAACGGAACGACACGCCTGAAACACCAGGACCCCAAAACCCTAAAACCCCAACGTGAATGTCCCCCAAATCCCCGGTTAACCCGCCAAGAATGACGGCGGCGGTGACGACAATGCCGTACATTTCATGCACACACCCGGCGGAAACCCCAACCCTGCTTTATAAGCCCACCTCCCGGGGGTGGGGTGGGGTGGGGGATTTTGCCCCGTTGCTGTTAAGTGTCATCCACTTCTTTCTCCCCCCCCCCAAACTCCCAAACAGGCTCGTCTTTCCCCCCAAAACCCCATCCGGCGCCCAAACCCGAAATTTCTTCTTCCCCATTCCCCGTTCCCCTACCTCCCCCCCTTACCTTCCCCCTTACCTTCCCCCCTACCTCCCCCCCTACCTCCCCCCCTACCTCCCTTCCCCCCTTCCCCCCTTCTGGCGCATCAGTCTTTCCTTGGCACCAACTTCACTCGCTCGTGGTTCTTTTCCCCCCCTACCTCAACCACCTCCCCCTCCCCCCCCGCCGGTACTCAGGTACTCCGTGTTGGACAAGATCGTCCCCGGCTACTACCACCGGCGGCACGAGGACGGCTCCATGTGCGACTCCACGTGCTGCAACAACACGGCCACAGAGCACGTCATGTGCGAGAGGCTGGTGGTGGACGACATAACGCATTGGGCCAGAAACTACAAAGTGGACGGATTCAGGTCCGTGCGTCGGCATGTATGTTGGTATGATGCGTGTAAGGGTGTGTGTGTGTGTGCGTGTGTATGTATGTGGTATTTGGGGAGGTGGAGGGGGCGGGTGGGTGAAGGCTAGACATCCTCCCCTCTAATCCCTCCCTCCCCCTCTCAACTCCCCGCCCCTTTCTCACCTACCCCCCTCACCCTCACTCTTTCCCCCCCCCTTCGACCCCCCAGATCATCCCCGTCCCCTTCTACTCTCCCTCCCCATCTTACTCCTCACCCCTCACCCTCACACCCCACCCCCTCACCCTCTCAACCCCCCTCGCTCTCTAGCCCCCCGTCCCCCTCTTAACCCCTTGCGGGGGCCCGTCACACCCGCACGCACCCCGCACTCACCCCTTCCCCTCTACTCCCCCTCCCCCCCTCTCACGCCATCCTCCCCCTCTAACCCCCCTCCCCCTCTCACGCCCCCTTCCCCTCTACTTCCCCCTTCCCCCCTCAACCCCCCTCTAACAGCCCCCCCCCCTCTCAACCCCCCTAACCCCGAGCCCCCGCCAGATTCGACATCATGGGTCACCTAATGTTGAGCACCATGACCAAGATACGGACATCCCTGGACGCCCTCACACCTGAAAAGGTACGAAAGTGTACGGCTTAGGGGTATATAAGATTCACACAAGATCACACATGACTGCAACCTGCAGTCTCCTAGCCCCTACCACCAGCACCCATATGGTATCTCCATAACCCAGCTGGTGCGCTCTACACGTCAATATCTCCTTAGGCTAGCGAAACAGTCATCATCTCCGCGGGGCGGCCGCCCCATTCCTCACCCCCCCCCGACAGGATCACGGTGTTCGCGGCCGCTCCATCTACCTGTACGGCGAGGCATGGGACTTCGGCGAGGTGGCGGGCAATCAGAGGGGCCGTAACGCGGCCCAGATGAACTTGGCGGGTAGGGGGCCGGAGGGGGCGGGGGTGGGGGGATGTGGGGGGGATCGGGGTGAGGGGAAAGATGAGGGGGAATGGGGGGGCCGTAGTGTTTTCTTCTCCTCCTTTTTTTCTTTCTGCTGATTTTTTCATGCCAACCTAAATCCGGACACCGTCTCGTTTGTGTATATATGTAAGTGGAAATGTATGTATGTCTGTATGTGTGTGGATGTGTCCTGATCAGGCACCCGGTTGGGCGCCTTCAACGATAGGCTGCGGGACGGAGCTCTCGGAGGGGGCCCCTTCGCACCCCCGCAGTTCCAGGTGGGGGGGGGAGGGAGGGAGGGGAGGGAAGGGGGATGAAGACGAACCACGTGAGCGAGTGAAGCTGCTGCCAAGGAAAGAGACTGCTGCGGCAGATGTACAGGACGGTAGCAGAACTGACCAGTGGACGGTTGTGAAGAACCAGTCCTCGCGATGATGCCATGATGATGATGATGATGATGACCGCGGAAACCTACCTACCTACCTAGCCGCCAAGACTAAATAACAGCGAAAGAAGAATAACAGTAGAGCCAAGCCGTGAAAGTAGTAAAGGTAGGTGTAAAGGCGGCGAAAAACTAATAAAAACTGATGACGTGGGAAGAGAGCGGGATGACGTGAGCTGGAAACAAGTAGGCCGCCGGAGGGAGGGAGGGAGGGAGGGAGGGGGGAAGGGAGGGGGGAAAGGTGTTTCGGCTGGCTGGTTCATAGTTCTGGCTGATTGAGTATAGGGTCGTCTGCATGTCTAGCACCTGGGCGAGTGTGTGTATTTGTGCACAACTGCACAACAACACACCAAGAGCAGCAGCAGCTCGCTAACTCCGCTGTCAAGGGGTCTGGTCGTGTTCAAGAAGGCAGCGAGCGGCCAGACAGGGCATCACAGGGCATCACGTCAAAACGATAACACACCGGCGGTCCGCTGGCTGTACCCGTCCCGAGTCTGGAGCCCATCGTAACAACCACACACACTATAACGCAAAGCTCTGAAACGACGAGAGCACCGAAAGGCGATGAAAGGCATGAAACCCTTCAACCAACCGCCGCCCAACCTCGGATGCATGACCCGCCGTTTGATGTTCTGCCGTCGTTGATAAATTGACTTTCGCCTTCCGCTGTCTTTCATCGCCATTCGCAATCTCTTTCCTCGAGACACACCTACACACACCTACACACACACATACACACACATACACCTACCTTCCCCCCACCACCACCTCCAGGGGCTGGTTACGGGCCTGTTCCTGGCCCCTAACCCCGCTGCCCAGTCAGATCAGGGGGGCCCTGACGACCAACGAGCTGAGCTGCTGGTACTCACTGACTGGGCTCGGTCCGCATTGGCTGGGAACCTGAGGTACGAGCTGGGGGCTGGGTTTGACGGTTGGGGTCGTTAGGTAGTTAGTCAGAGGCGGTTGGGAGTTAATAAGGAATGGGAGGCGAAATGGACTGTCTGGTTGGTGGCCCGGTAAAGAACGGTTATAAACGGTTTTTAACAACTACCCAACTACCCATCTTAACTGTAACAGGGTCTACCCTCTGCATCTGTGTGATGGCTCCACGCGCGCTGGCGAGGAGGTTGGTGGTTGATGGTTGGTGGTTGTGTGTGTATTGAATATGTGTGTGAGTGTGTGTCCCATCGCTGCCCTTTTTGTTAAATACGGCAGACGTGACGAAATCTAGTTCCTACCTAACCAACAGTGGTAACGGCAACGGTTAATGGACAACGGAGAAGAACCGAATTCGTTACGCCAGATATTGTATTCGAGTTCCTTTTCCTCGAACTGTTTTGGTCAAAATTTTCTCACAGTGAATTTCATTGTTGATTCAGTTTTTCAGGAACCTTCCCAACCAACCGACCAACCGAAACAACTTTACCCTATATATGGCACTGCTGCTACTGCTGCTGTTACTGCTTGCTGTTGCTCGTCCCAGGTCCTGGCCCACGGGTTTCCCCTGGCGTACGGCGGCCTGCCGTGCGAGCACGTGGCCTTTATTGGCTGTCACGACAACAAAACCATGTTTGATCAGATCATTGAGAAGGCCCCGGCCAATGTACGTGGTGGGATAAATGAGGGTTTGGGGGCCCCGGGGGGGCCCCGGGGTGCGAATTTGATGGTCTTTGCGTACCTACATACCGACGTGCAGCCTCCCTCTTCACTCCACTCCACCTCACTCAACTCACTCAACCTCGGTATGTAACATGTCGTCTACTGGGCGCAATGAGGTCTTTACCTTTTTATGATCGTACATTCCTGCAACCCTCCCTTACCTCTCCATGAAATATCAATGTGTTTCCACTACCCCCATTTCC